TTATCTTGCACTGATAACTCACGTTTTCACATCAATCTCTCTCCAGCTCTAGGGAAATCAGCATGGATAATGAGCACAGTAAAACTGGCTGTGTTATTACTAATCCCTCCTGGTCCATTTCTCCTCTCCTTGTGGACAAAGTAAAAAAAAAAGTCAATTTTTTACCTTATTTTCTTGTATTCAATGTCTTCTTTGTGTTATTAATATTAACAATTAGCATAATATGACCAATTAAATCCAGGAATAGTGACAAAGCACAAACTGAACAGGTGAGTATAAAACCTGAGATCTAGAATTTCATATCCGCCTTTGTTCATGTGTGTCCTCAGGCATTTGTTTTCTTTGCATCTAAGAGAGCCTCATTGTATGACAGCATTGTGCTCACGGCCATGATTCCTGCAGCACAGATGGAACCAGCAGAGCAGCAGGAAGACACCTTGAAATATTAGCTTTGAGTTTAACCATCTATGCCTGGTGCTTTGCAGAATGCAGATAAGATGTCTGTCTTGTTCATTTAGATTCTGTTTGGACAAATATGATTTATATACCAGGGGTCAAGCTGCCCTTTAACTTTTATTACTGAATGCACTATCAGCTGTCAGGTGTGATGCTTGGCCACTTATATATTTACACTATATTACTATATCTATAATATCAGGGGTAGTAGAAATATTGACATGTTAACTTGCAATTTTAGTTTGTGGCCTAAAACCCATGGTATTTACATTTGAAGTGTTCTTGTTATCTTTTTTATTACCATTTTATGCTGTATTTTTGTCTTAGCTTATTATTTATATTAATTATGTTCACATAACATTTTATTCATTGCAACACATTTGTACATTCCAAAAGGAGTGTTACTGATAATCACCAGAAATAAAACAAGAAAATACTCATTCAACTGCATATCACAGATAATGCTAATGATTTTCTGAAAAATGTCAACAAGGCTACCACTTGGGTAAAAAAGACAGAGACGCTTGGAGCACCCTTAAGATTTATTATCATAATCATTATTATAGACATTTCCGGGGACAGAATGCGTCCCTAAAACGTGTGACGTAACGAGGTCTTGGTGATCACGTGACTTTGACGTCGGCACGAGTACGTGTTCGATACGGTTGATACATCTTCTCTTTTGCAAGAACGATACTCGAGGAATCATCACTGTTTGAGTGATCGCTGCTTGTGTTGATCAGCGCACTAAAATATGGACGACAGAGGCTACGGTTCTGGTGAATACTCCCCGATCAGGAATAACTTGTGGTGCAGATACCTCTACCGTGGTTCCAGTTAGCTAGTCATTCGTTTTCCGATTAGCCGTATGCTTTGGAACGGTGAAAATTAGCCAGTATGTTAGCTAACGTAGCACAGCTATTTAGCATACAAGCAACAACAGCCAGCCCACAGCCTGTTTGAAACAAAGAAACATTAGTTGACTTAAAGTAATGTTTTTGTGTCGAGGTAATATTTAATACGTTCATTTACGAGGAAACGGAACATTCTTTAACAGCATATCGGGCCCATTAGCTAATATTAATGACACATCGCTAGGGTTAGCTAGAACTGGGTTAGACTAGCTAACCTCTTTATTTGCTAATATGCTAGCACAGAGGGCTGTGTGGCCTATTGTGGGTTGTTGTACAGCGTGTTCGATTATTTGGTAAAAATTGCTGGCTGTTTAGGTTAAAAAGTTTCATTGTGGGAATAGTGTTAACCGAATTTAAATGCTGATTAATTTAATGACCACCTCAACAAATATGATTTCAAAACTTGGCGTTAGTTTACTACAACGTTGCCGTAAACTAATACCGTTGTGTTCTCCCACGCACTTGCGAATTACTAAACCAGTAACACAAAGCTATTAGAAAGCTAATTCAGAAAATGAAACAGCCGACATGCAGTTTGAGAGTTACATTTTGCATTGTTTTCTAAATGTCAATTTGCTGCTTGGATGTCTAAAATTAATCTACACATTCATATTTGTTTTGTTCGTAAGCAAGTTTTAAATGTCAGATTTTATTACCCCACTGTACTAATACCAATGTATTCTTTTATAGGTTATTCCAGTTGGGGAGGAGGTGGGTCAGGCAGCAGAGGTAAGGAAATGAGTGAATACATTTCTGCTTAATGGCACAAGCACAGTCAAAGACAGCAGTATGTTCTTGCTGTAGGGCTGCAACCAACACTAGCTATTTATATTAACCCAGAACAAAGTGATACTGACGAAATCAGATGTGTCAGAAATGTTGGGCAACTGCTGTTATTGATAGTGTAACTGTTTGTGTTATGACTACATGTTCTTTTTAACAATTTGTAATCTAAACAGTTTTACTCTGAAGGGAGAAAAGCCCTTAACTTTGAGGAGCTGTTTAGACTAATTGATCCACTAACTAGTAAAATAATTGGCTTTCTTTGAGAAATTGCTAAAAATGCATTTGATTTATATTAGTTATACAAAAGCTAGCCTTGTCTGCATTTGTAAAGCAAGTAGTTGACCACTGGTTTTGTTACTGATTTGTTACAATAGTAATAAGGATGATAGTGGTCGTTAATATGGTTTACTTCCTCATTAAACTAGGTTCTGGTGGCTTTGACATGTATGGAGGAGGTTATAAGGACTCAATGTCTGGGCTTGGGGGCTATGGAGGAGGAGGAGGAGGAGGAGGAGGCCACATGAAGAGAGGTCTGTCAGGAGCGTCACTCCTGTCATCCACAGGCACGCATGCAGATGCAGTTATTGCCAAGATTAACCAGCGCCTGGACATGCTCACTCAGTTGGAGGGGGGGTTGAAAGGGGCTCGGGGTGACAGGTAATTTTTTTTCTTGGTTCTGCTCCATACTGTGTTTATCATTCAGATACCACTACCACTATAGAGGTGGGACTATATATTGAAATTCGATATATCGTGGTACAAAACATCACAATATGTATAGTTTTGTGTAGTGATATATATTGTGTGTTCTCCGTACACTAGCAGCTTCATATTTTTTGTACATAAGATAGCCTAACAGAACATAAGTCAATATAACTGGTTGTTCTTTACATAATCAAACCAGTGCTAGAAGGAGGGAAAAGAGGAATAAAGTACAAGTATTCTCCAGATACTTTCCAGATTCTCCAGATAATCCTACATGGTTGTCATTGAATTTTTAATTGTATTGTGATTGAATCAAGTTGTACACACCATATTGTGCATCAAATTGTACTGAGAAAATAATCATATCATCCTATTCTTGACTACCACACATCCTTGCCATGAAGAGAATTACATTTCCCCGTACTGTCCTTTACATTTCAAAATAAATAACATAGGACACCATAATGCGGCATCTTGTTGGTTGAAAACATTTCCCTCAGTGTTACTTCATGTCTCGACAGTATTCATCCAGTTAAATATTGCTTGTTTCTAGAGTCATCACTAGATGTCTTGAGTTACATTTTGCTGTTATATAAAAGGATGCCTAGGCCTTCTAATGCTTTAGAGAATTTAAGGGCAAAACTGGTCTTGTCTTAGATTTTGAAGTGGTGCTGTTTTAGCATATAGTTCTATAAAACATAAAATCAAAAAAGAAGGAAATGTCAACATGGACGGAAACTTAGTTGTTATTGTATTAGAATGGTGATGTTGCTCCACTAAATTGGGCTGTTTTCGCCTGCTCGGGCATTTACTTATACCTTACACTCAGCCTTGGTGAAAATGTGCATGCCCCACTTCCAATTTTGTTGAAAAGAGTGGGAGTTCATCACAGGCTGCATTTGAATGCCTCCGCATCAGAGGAAGCTATGCTCTCCCTACTTGCTATGTTGTGGTTTGTTTGATTGCTGGGAGGAAAATGTTGTGATCCCTCAAAACATTAGATGCTGTGAAATGCATGGCCTCATGTTGGAGGTGCAATTATGGACCCATTTTTTTCATTTGTAACAGATAGATGTCCTTGCACATGAAGCCAGTCCATCTTGTCACACTCCCTGAGCATTGCCTGTGTCTTGACTTTATTTGTTCATACACTTTCTCATCCTCCATGTGACCTAACCCTGTGTTCTGGCTTTAGGTAACACAAGAGAGATGAGTTTACAGGTGTGAGCTTGATATTACGATGTCAAGCTGGAATGTTTATGGAAGGTTGCTTGCTGTATTTATAAAACACCTTTAGCTGTTAAAAAAGCTGTTTGTCTGTCACCTCCTTCCCTGAGAATTTAACATAATCCAGCTACATTCCAGGATATCTCACCTCTGGGACCTGTTTCATGGCATCACTGGTTCTGATGGACCATGGTTTTGTCTGTTCAAGTTTCATAGCCTGTCCTGTAACAAGGGATGGGGTTTAAGAAACTGCATTTCCCTAATCTGCTGGATACTGATACCTCCCACAGAGAATGTGGTTGGATGAGTTTCTGTAAACTTTAAGAGAAAAATAATTACCATATTATAATAGAGCATTAACCTGTTTTGGATCTAATGTGGTTTATGAAGTAAAGCTGGGAGTGACAAGAAAAACAACTGGAGAAAGCAAGACCATGGAGGAGAAGGAATAGCAGGTGGAGAAATCCAAACCTGACTGCCCTCCCTGCCTCCCTTGCTCTCTGCTTTTCTCTATCAATCCTCTCCCTCCCTCCCGCAGGTTTGACCAGTACGAGTCATTCGACTCGCGCACCTCCGCTTTCACCTCCTCCCGAGATCTCTACAGATCTGGCGGCAGTAGCTATGGTTATGGTGATGGCCGTGGGGACAACCTGCTGTTGGGCCAGCGAGGAGGCTCGGGCTTCGGAGGGGGAATTGGGCTAGGGGGAGGAGGAGGCTTTGACAGTCCCTCCTCTTCTTTTGGAGTCGCTAAAATGCGACATAATATGAGGGAGTCCTTCACCAGTGGCCAGGGAGGAGGTTCGGGAGGTGGAGGATGGGCCGGAGCAGGCCGACGTTCCCCCAGAAGGGGTGGAAGTGCTGGGGGTCGAGGAGCTGGAGGAGGGTTTGCCAGCCGCAGGTCTGACCCCACCCCATTAGGCGGAGGTGGACGGGGAAGTGGTAGTGGTGGCCAGTCCCACCGTGGTCACTCTCCAGGAGGTGGTAGAGGCAAGCTCCCATCCCTCCTGTCCAACCGCATGTACCCTGAGAGTGGAGGCTTCCATCAGGGTTCCACTCAAGGGCCTCACGACTTCCCTGGGAGGCATTTTGGAGGGGCCCCACGGGCTGGCCGGCAGCGAGGCCGCAAGAGACCCCTCAACAAAGTAAGTACCTCCAGCCAAATAAGATGACATCAGACAATGGGCAAAAAAAGCCCTTTCTGATTCCCTCCTTTTTGTATCCTCAACCAACTGGCAAGTCAGCCCTAAAGAGCTAGTACCTGCTATGTGTCATCTAGAGGTTTGTCACAAATAATCCCTGACACACATTTGACACATCACTTGCCCTTCTAACTCTGCCCACCCCTTATTTAATGTGGTCAGAAATGCCTCATGGAACTTCTCCCTAATACTGCTCCTTGCCCAGTTCTTTGTCTTGTTTACCTGCGGGGGTCATGATTTCATTTAGTGAATTTTACTTAGATTTTTTTTCTTTGATTTGCTAGATGAGGAAATGCCCAGAGAAAGAAGACATTAAGTGTGCTAATTAACTTTGTGTCTAGAATTTGAGGTTTAATTAAGGGGGACAGGGGGTCAGAAATGTATTTGTGAATTCAAATGAATTTTTGTTGACTGCAGCAGGTGAAGCCACAGCGTGAAGTCCAAAAGAAGAGAAAGCAGACACTTACTGCAGCTGATGAGCCAGAGTCAAAGATGAACAAGACAGAGAGCGCAGGGTCCGAGGCTACCCAAGGTGCATCCTGCAGTACATTTAAAGCTTGCTAACAAAAACAGCCTCATTATTTGGCAGATAACACTTCTCTTTGTGTCTTGGTCTGGTTTTTATAGAGCAAGCTGAGAAAAATGGTGATGACAGTGAACCAAAGACAGCAGCTGTGGTGAGTAGACAGAGGTTATTTGACAGGAACTCAGTTTCTTTGTGATCTGCATATATTGACCTTTAAAGTGCAACATCAGCACTTTCGTGTTAATGCAGTGTACCCCGTGAATAAACTAGTGAAGTATTTAAATTTGATCTGTGTTATAAAAAAACAAAGATGGGGAAGAAATCATATTGCCCTGTAATATCAATAGTTAATTTCATAAAAGCTTTCTCTGCCAATACTGGCAAAGAAGGCTGGATTAAACACAGTTTTTAAAAGGGCCTTTTTCATCAGTGGCACAGATTTGAGTGGAACAGGATGTTTTTTATTGCAAATAGATATCCACCCTGGAACCGCCTAGTTTAATGGCAGAATATAACGAAAAAATGAATATTTCTAAAATTCAAAAGTCGCTGTCAAAAATTGAAGGTAAAGTTATCAGTGCCTTTTTTTAAACAATGGGTTGCTTTTCTAACAGGATACGAAACCTGCTGAAGAGGGAGATAAAGGTAAGGCCACCTACAGTTGCCCCTCAGTCGGTTTATTTTTCCATGCTATGCTTTGTCGATCTACATCAGCGGCCTGTCTTGTAGTAAAACCTTTTGATACAAGGTTTTCTTGCCATGCCTAACTTCTGCTCTTGTGCTCATGGGTAGCAGCACAAAAACAGGAGGACAAGAAGAAGCCGCAGGGCAAACAGCCCCCAGCCCAAGGCCAAGACAAGCACCCAAAAATGAGGAAGCGAAGGGGCTTTCTGGAAAGGTGAGAGGATCACCTGCATTGTTATTTTGTACAGCCTTCTCCTCTTTCTCATTTCCTTTTATTCTCATCTTTTGTTTTCCTTTTCAACTCCTGTGCATCATCAATGAAAAGCTGTCAATATAACAATTCCTCTGCTGATGGTAAAAATGGTTTATGTGAATTTGGTCAACTTTTATTCTTTAAACATGTTTTTACCTGAAATTTCTTTCTTATTAAAATGTTTATAGTAAAATATATAGTAAATGTGAGTGAAATACACCAGGAGTACCCCCAGCTCTTTCAGTGCAGCTGAACATTGTAAAAGTGATACTTTGTAAAACACACAAGTTATAATCCACAGCAATCTGAAATGATGATCAAAAGCAGTCAAAATCACGCTGTGCTCAAAATATATCATCAGTCATGTTAGGCTACCAACAATGAAAGCTACCTAATTTCCTTGCAGCGTATCAGATCCTGTTTCTTAGCAACAGTGAAAACTATGGATGCCTTGTTGTGACAAACAGTACAAAATGCAGCCTCCGGTCAGAGCTATCTTTTTGTTTGTTTTAGGGTGATGTTTGCATGCTCTGTGTGCAAGTTTCGTTCCTTCTACAAGGAGGAAATGGAAACTCATCTTGAGAGTCGCTTTCACAAGGACCACTTCAAGTTCCTTTCCAGCCAGTTGTCCAAGCCCACTACAGACTTCCTACAGGTGACTTGAGATTTGTCATATTCACAGCTGCAATCCAGTCAATGGACAATTGCACAGAATAACACACAGCTTGCCAGTCATAATCTTTGGGCAGTTTTTACTCTGCATTTTAGTATTTTAAGATTCAAAGCATGTGCTCATTGTAAATGCATAAAAATAGTCTATGAATAAATATGTAGTACAGGATTGTAGGGCTGTACCCAAGTCACAGTCTTTCAAGTTGAATGTTACGGGCCAGTATCTGAAATATTAAGGATACAAATTTACTTTCATTTTGTGTGGTTCTGCATTAGTCTGATCACAAAAGATGTCTGACAAAGGTGATGTTCATTGATGTTATAAATTGCATTATATTTACAGTTATTTTTTATTATTATTGGCTTGAGAAACTTGTAACCTAAACCCTACTTAATGGAAAACTGTTTGCTTTATAATTTATAAGATGAACATGTTGGCTAATCAATCTCACCAAAAGAGCTGATCTTGTGGAGAGAGTTGTTTCCAATTTTAAGAACATTCACTCTCAGGACTGGAACTGTTTACAAATGCATAAAACTGCTTTGTTATTTTAATTACAAGCATAGCTTTAACATGTTTGTGCGGGCGGCATGATGACCTGAGTCACTAAATCTGTAGTAACAGGAGGTGTAAAACAGTCGTCGTTTTGTTTTTGTAGGAATACTTGCAGAATAAGTTCAAAAAGACAGAGCAGCGAGTCAGCCAACTGGAAAACCACAGTGCTGCCATCTGCCAGGTGTACAAAGAGCAGGACCTCACCAGGGGTAAGCAGCAGGAGGAGTATGTATGTTCGTTTATACAGCCAAGGCAGAAGAGGAGATGTGATTGCTCATTGCAGATATTTGTCACACCTGTAGATCTCGGTATGGAGCACTTCATGAGGAAGGTGGAAGCTGCTCACTGTGCAGCATGTGACCTCTTCATTCCCATGCAGCCCCACCTGATACAGAAGCACATCAAGTCTCCTGACCACAACTACAACCGAAAGGTATGGCAGAACATCCCCAAATGGATCTACTTAGATGTTAATTCATACAAAATAATCACAGGTGAAGTCCTAATACTGGTTAGAATAATTTCAATCGGACCCTTCATGTAGTGGTGTTAGAATTAACTGTAAAAGCCATAATGCTCCCAAACCAGGTGGTATGGGACGGTACATTGGGGTGTACTCAACTCAGGTTTTTGTATTGATTGCTCCAGTACCACTAGACCACTACTGGATAATGTACTGTAATGATGTTTTGCACTTTGTTCTATGTATGACCTGGGGATGTCCTTTCTGTGACCCAGGGCATGATGGAGCAGTCCAAGAAGGCCAGCCTGTCAGTTGCTCGTAGCATCCTTAACCACAAACTCATTGGCAAGAAGCTGGAGAGTTACCTCAAGGTAATAAAACCAAGAATCTAAGTTAAAAAAAAATTTAAATGGTAAACATCATCAGGATCTTTTGAGTACTTTGTTTTTCTACTATGAAAGGGAACATGTAGATATACCATTTAGAAGAATAACTAAAAAAAATTAGCAAAGAGCTCCTTGCAAAAATATGGGATATACTCATGCATTTTAATGTCAAGAGGAGACATTCATTCATAATGGAGTGCAGTTTAAGTAACATACCATGCATGTACAGATTAAACCAGGTTATGTTTATAAAACCTGAGTTTTTGAACAGCAAGCTCTGCTCTTGTTGTTTTACTCTCAAATTTATATTTTGTTGTCATCAGGGTGAAAACCCATTCACTGGTAACCAGGATGATCAGGATCCAGAGGACTCCATGGTGATGGACGTGTCAGAGGTAGAGTTAACCAGTGAAACAGCAGACACCCAGGCAGAGGCAGCACCAGTTAAGGATGAACCGGTGGCTGAGGGAGACGTGTACCAAGAGGCAGTCGAAGGTGAAGCAGCAGGGGAAGAAAAGATGGAGGAGGAGCTAGCAGTGGAGGAAGATGGGAAGCAGGGTAACCAGGAAGAGGAGGAAGGTTTTGAAGTTGGAGAAGAGGAGGAGGGATACGTGGTGCATGATGAGGTTGGTGAAGAAGGATTACAGGATGCGGTGGAAGAGGAAGGAGTAGCAGTTGAAGGAGTTGAAGGAGATGAAGGAGTAGAAGGAGTAGAGGGAACAGAGGGAGCAGAGGCAGCAGAGGTCGAGGAGGAAAACAAAAATCATGAATGACTTTTGCACCATGTGTGATTTCTCAACCTCTGGACCCGTCAGTCACTCCCACAGTCCTTTTAGACCCAATTGCGTTGTCAGGCATGTTAAGAAACATACAAAACTGATCCCACCATTTCTCACTGTCTAGTGACTCTGAGCTTATATGTTTATTTTTTTGTTAAATTACAGTTCCACATTATGGAAAATACTTTTTTCAAATGTAGAGAATTGGATGGAAAACAAACATGTCAAACAAAATGCTTACACTGGTTAACCGTCTTGCCTATACCTTCCAGCTGTCTTTAGAGGTGCTGGTAGAATACGGTTTGGACTTTGGAGAAGGCTCCTTTTCTGGTATTAAAATTAAACTGTTCATCTTCCTGAAAGAAAGCAAATATTTGTATTTCCCTAAATGTCAAATGCCTCGTGTTCTTTGTTAAAATAATCCTTATTTTAGACTCATTTGTTTAGAATTTAAGATGTCATTGGTGTTGAAAAGTTAAGTTATGTACTTTTTTCTTGTCAGTTTAGACCATGCTATAGGAATCTGTCTATTGCCAGTACTGATGATGATGAATGGATGATTTTTCCAACCTTTTGGTAAAATCTAGAACAGGAGGGCTTTTTAATCTACATCTGAGGAGACAGATAATTGAGGGGACTGTTGTAGAATAAGCATGAGATATTCAGAATTTATACCAGTCATGTTTCACTCTGACTATGAAATAAACTTGTCAAATAAATCAGTTTCAGTGTTTTGACTTACGGTCTTAATGAGCTGTCATTTGCCTGATCAAGTCAAGGTAAGAAGTTGAAAAGAGCAGCAGTCTGATGTAGACATTACATTACATTATTTAACCAGGGCTTTAGTTTGTTAAACCTTCTGAAGATACAGCTAATTGTTGTACCAGGTTAATTTAGCAAGTTCACACCGGTCTGCATAACCAACCACCTGCCTGGAGTTTAGCTTTTATTTTATTTAATTTTTTTATAGAACAGCATCTCTGACCACAAGGTGGTATACTCTCAATCAGAGCGTTAATATCAGCATAATTCTCCTCATTTATAGGATTTAATTTTAGAAACAAATGGCAGAGGTTACCTTCTACTGGAAGATGTTGGTCAGTGTAGTCTATGGCAGAAGGTTTGGCTGTTGCCTCACAAATTCCTAATTGCCAATAAAGTAGACTTAAAGCTATCCTCTAAAGCCTTTTTCTCCGGATAAAGCTTAAGCAGAACTGAAGGCTATGAAATTTTACACTAGTATAAGAAATCTATAAAGAGTACACTCATGTGTACTGCTTTTAATTGTATCTATTAAGTACAATCTCTGAGTTACTATATTCAGTTCCGTTTAATATAGGGGATGGATTACTGAACAGATGTAACGGTCACAGACTAGCCTCTGTTTGACGTCCCTTTGGAAAGATAATAGACTGTCAAAAACGACCATAAAGGCACATACAAGACAAGAGATACAAATAACTACAAAGATAAAATTACTACTAGGAGATGTGCAAATTAACATAAATATAAAACACTACAAAGACAACGCAGAATATTAAAACTCAAAAGTTATTCAAATTATAATATTTTAGGGTTATTTAAAACGGAAACAAATGGCACAGTAGATAACCACTTTGTGCCACACTAGTCGTGAATTACAATAATGACATGCCTAATGAGTGGATGTTTGTTCTATGTCATTTACTTATGGCATCTTCATTTAAATAAATATATCAAAGACAAAATTAGGTGACAAACAGACCTGTTTTGTGGTTGAAATTATTACAAGGTATTGCATGATGCCCCCGGGGGAGGGGGGCGGAGTCTTCGATGACATTTCGGCTGACAAACTTGCGGTCTGCCTGCCCCCCCATGCGTCTGACGTCATCAACGTAGAACGGTACTGTTTGTTCTGGATTTGGGGCGAGGAAGGTTTGCGAGCGCTGACAGCCTACTGAGGAAGGTAAAAAAACAGCACTGTAGACATTTGTATAGATGACACTGGTATATCAAATGAAAGTATACAATCCCGGGCATTCGGTAAAAGGCTTATGCAGGGCATCGGTGGCGTATTTCGCGCGCTGTCAGTGTGCGCTTCGGCAAACGGAGCATAAGCTATCTTCACAGGCCTTGCACCGGTTCGGTTACACGAGATAGATGATTTTTTGTCTTTTAAGTTAGCGTGATTTGGTGTGTTGTACATATTTTGGGTTGTATCTTTCTTTTAATAGTACTTGTGTTAAGGTCGTTTTTCTGACACTGGGCACTCTGTCAGTGTGCACGTTAGCTGCAGTTGTATATCATGCTAGCCAGTTAGCTGCTAGCCTGTTTGTTTGTAGCCCCGTAGGCCGTATTCGTGAATAAGTTACGTCCTCTGGGTAGCGTAGTTTACGCGCGATGGCGCAGAAGCTCACACGAAGTGCGACGTACGTCATTTCAAGAATATCAGTCCCGTCCAAGTCGTATTCTGAAAGTGTTTACGTGCGGAGCTGTCACTTTCCCACAGTGATCATGACGATGTTCTGATATACCAGGTTAGCAAGGCGACGTTAAGGTTAGAATAAAGTTTTGGATGGTATTTTTATTTTCATTGTTGATCATAAGTAACGTTATCTTCGCTAGCTTTTCTTTCTTTCCTCAGATAACGTTACCGCTAGAAAAATACGAAATAGTAGCAAAATGGCTGTTTTTGCAGCGTTAATTCACTCTCTACTGTTTACTCAAATTAGCTGCGATGTTTATTGGCACCAAAAGTAGCTACTTGTATTATGGGCACGCAATTGCGTAGTATCACGACTGTCTTCGAGCACATTGTCAGGATGTGGCTGGAATTGTTGAAAGCCACAGGCATTGTATCACATATATATTTTATTAGTGGTAGTGTGGTTTGGTAGATTCATTTTTAAAATGGTGTCTCAATATTGGACTTAGTGTATTAGTGCATTAGATATTTGTTCCCATGCATTGTCCAGTAAGGATAGGTATTTTAAGCGGCTTTGTTTGAGCATGGACAGATTTGTGTCACAGAGAAATTCCAAAACACAACCTTTGAGCACTGTGATGCATCTAGAAACTGTCCAGGTTCAAGGTCATGTATAAAATCATTGAATTGCAGTAGTCCCAATCTTGTCAGCTAGCTTGACTTAAAATCTTTCAAATCCCTCAAAATATCAAATTATTTGCATGTCTGTGAGTAAAGTTGCCACATACTGATAAATCAACTATCACAACTCTGAGAATAATGACCGTCTTACAAACTGCTCAGCTCCTCTGGAAATAAAGAAAAGAACATATCAATAGATTTTATACACATAATGTGTGGATGTGGTCTTTTTTTAGTTGTTAATTTGATGAAATATGTTCTGGAAGAGACAGAATGGCAGCACAACAGTTTCTTGCTTGCACTGCAGATGGATAGTAGCATTTCAGGCAAAGGTGAAGGGTTATGACAGATCAGAAACTTTTATTAAAACATGAATACTGGGTCAAGAAGCTGCCTGGGCTAAGAATGGTGCAACGTGCAAGTCTCAGTTCATTTGGACAGGTCCAGTTAAAGAAGGCTCATTTCCTGGAAAAAAAAAATCATGACCCAAAAAGATGCAATCTCAAACAAGCTGGCTAGAAAAGGAGAAGCAGGTGTCATTAAAGCACCACCCAATTTCCAATATGTTACGAAGAATTGCAAGGGTTCTGTGTGACATTGAAAATATAATTTGTTCTTTGCCTGTATTATGATTGTAACTGCTTGTGCTACAACATGATCAAATCTACATCAGGTAGTAGATTTTAATGTTATTTGGAAGAAACTAGTGATGGAAAGATGAAACCTTGTTGAAGCATTAAAGCTTTCCAGGCATTTGAAGCAAAAAAAATGGTTCATGTTGAAGTGACCACAAAACCACCTAGTGGTAGAAAAAAGTTACCATAGAAAATTGTACGCTCAGTTTATGTGTAAAAATATAGCCTGAAGCAGCGCAACTCATGTTTATGTTTGTAAGTCAATAGGTTAAATGACTGAGAGCATTTCTTCAAAATATTAAACATGGGTCTGAATTGAATGTCATTTGTAATATTATTGCCTCCCTCTGTAATACATGAATTAATAAAGATTTCACATCTGTAACTACATGTTGGTGTAAATTTATACCCTCAGAAATATGAGTAATATATCTCCAATACAATAAATAGTGTTATGGTATTATTGTTAATGTAAACAAAATGGACATAGCCTATTGTGTTCCTAATGCACGTGTGAGAAGACAGTTTCAGTGACTGCACAGTGTTGGGCGGTGGGAAAATAGGGCTAACTATTATTCTTCATAAACCATATTTGCTCAGTGTGTATGTGGTGAATATGCTTGTGTGACTGGGCAGGTGGAGGAAACTAACCATTTTTATTTAAAAACTACGGTTTGTGCTCCAGGGTTTCTGGGCTCAGTTTGTTTCTTTTTTTTTTTACACATTATTTCTCCAGGTTTAGAAAAAAATATGTTTGCATGACGCAGGACTACATAAATAACCTATCTGAGGGACAGGTGGTACAGATTAGACAGGCACACAGTTTTAAGCGGGGTCCTGTAGGAATGCAAGCTACATTTCACCCAAACAACACAACCATAAATTGTACATACAGGCACACAAATTATTTTGATACTGTTAAAGGCTCTTAAGCATTACAGCAAATGGCAGCACATGCAGTATGTTCCCATACTGCGTTCTGTTTCGGTGCTGATGCCATGGCAATATAATGCAAACAATAAGTGGTGGAAGAAGTATAGATCTTTTACTTAGCAATATAACGGTGTATGAAATAGTCTGTTACAAGTAAAAGTCATGCACTCAAATTTTACTTAAGTAAAAGTACAGAAGTATTAGCCTCAGAATGTACTAGAAGTACTCATTATGCAGAATGACATTTAATATTGATGTATATTTCATGATTTGATTATAATCACAGACTTTCCACCAAAGACCAATAAAGTCTTATGATTATACTGTAATTTTTGTATTAATCAGGTTCTGAAAGTCACTCAAGTTGTAAAATAAATGTAGAGGAGTAAAAAATACAATATTTGCCTCTAAAATGTAGTTAAGTCAAAGTATGAAGCAACAAAATCTCAAAATTGTACTACTACTTGAGTAAATGTACTTAGTTACTTTGCACCACTGCAAACAATCACACTGCAACGATCTCCAACACTACAAACCCATGAACTTTGCGTTCCTCATCCTCTTCCCTTATATCTCAAACATCCCCTCCAACTTTGAAGTGCTTCCTGAACCCAGATGAAGCTTCAGCCATCATCGGTGACATCACATTTTCTAAACTATGAAAGCCTTGACATGAAGGCTCGCTTTCCCCTGCCCCGAGTACATGACACAAACTTTGAAGCCTTGGTGTTCAGCCTACCATCGCTAGAAACAGCCCCCATGTGATATACTGACCCCTGGTGTCTTTCATTTTTCTCTCTCACAGGTGTGACACTCTGCCCTCTATCAGTGTGTTGTGGTTTCCTTGCCCCCACAGCGTGTTGGCGTCAAACCTCCCGCATTCCATCGGGAAGTCGCCGCCTCACCAACTGAGATATGACCACACAATTGGATTAGACCAGAGCTGCACTGCAACAAACATGTAAGTTCCTAAAAAAAGGGTGTTCTCCTTGAAATTGGTGTATGATGGCAGAAATGTTGATTGGCAAATTTTGCCTTCTATACTTTTCAGCCACAGGTTCTAATGTAAAAGTTATTATTGTAGAAGTAGTCATCGTTATTTGCTTACACCATGTAAGGCCATGCTTATCCCACTAAAATGCTGAACATTTCCCCAGGCCTTTGACTAATACATTCACACTAGTTAGTCTTAATTCTGATGTTTATGTGGTAGCTGTAATGGTTGAACGATTGTCTAAAACAGAGCTCCAGCCATTTCTCACCAAACTGTGAATCTATCAATCTTTATTGTCCCCCGAAAATTGGGAAATTTGGTTTGCAACCAGGTGAATAAAAATAAACGCCAACAATAAAAACAAGCAACATGATCAGTCGCACACCCTCCTCCTTGTTCCAGTCAGAGGAAAACGGGCTGAAGACAGATGTCTAGTTTATATCTGACTGAACACACTTAACAATTAAGAATCAGAACTCATAGGGTGCTCTTTACCCTAAAGTTATGTTGAGTATCATTCTGTGATCATCGGCACTTTCTTTTTTTTTTTTTTTTTTAAACTGTGGGGACAAATATTCAGTTTTCTCCTTTAATTTGTCACCCATGTATATTTGATTGCTGCCAGAGCATGTACAATGCCTCTATGAGATGGTACATGTTTTTTTTTCTTGAAAAAGAAAGTCTACCCTGCCAGTGTCACTGAAGCTGTAAAGCAGCCTGCAGACACTGTTGAATGACAGTGAGACAGAGTAAAGGAAGCTGCTCGATAGTGACTCTGTGACACGGGGTTGGTTTCAGACCGCAGGTGCAGTAATTGTAGAGGGTAGTGGTGATGATGCTCACATTGATCATTCTTCCAGAGAGTCGAGTGAGGACTGTAATGGCCTGAGGGGGGTCCCCCTGGTCCCACCGGCCCTTGCCAGGTCTGATCTGCCCAAACTGTCTGCTCAGCCACTACACCCACAACCCACCACTGCGATGGGGGACGGACTGGAGGCTTGCGGCAGCCAGAACCCTCCTTCTGCCCCACTGCCTCTTCCCTTCAACCCCCAACCCCCTGAAACATGGAACCCCTCCAGACCCAAACGACAGACCAACCAGCTGCAGGTAGAACCATTTCTGTTTGTACATGTCAACTGTGTTTGGTTTTTCTGGTTTCATTTGATTGATATTTGTATGACTTTGCTCTTTTTCAGTACCTGCTAAAAGTTGTGTTGAAGACATTATGGAAGCACCAGTTTGCTTGGCCCTTCCAGGCTCCTGTGGACGCAGTCAAACTCAATTTGCCAGTGAGTTGTGTGTTTTTTATGCTTATAATCAAGGTTTATATTCTCAAGTACACAGATAGCAGTGGCTAGCCTAATCATCGTCATCATCAGTGCCATCATTATCATCTTGTTGACTGCTAGGCTATAGACTGCTAAAGTGACTACATAAAGAGGATGAAAGATGGTGATTTTCCCATTTACTGTGTTCCATAAGTCTCCCTTTCTCATTGCATTATAAATATAAGCTATGACCATCGGCTGATAAGGTCATTTAACATAATTTTTGAAAAATACAGATTCATTTGCATGGCTTTGTAAAACAGAGGTGGTGCCTCCAAATCTGGCGCTGGTGCCACTAGTATGACGTTTTAGTCTGATGGGTTTTTCTGCAAAACAGCATTGTCACAGCTCATTTGACTTCTTCACTTGACTAATGACACTTGTTCTTTGGTGGTGGTATAGTTGTCAGTGTAGTACCTGCTGGCTTAGCTCCATAAAGGTATTATAATGTATAAAAAGACAGTTATTGCTGCAGCTAAACATTATTTCTCTCATGGATTAATCTACCAAATATTTTGTAAATGAATCAGTTAATGGTTTGGTCTATAAATCATCAGAAAATAATGAAACTATAATGTAAGAGTAGAAAGAGTGGCAAATCATCAGGTTTGAAAATCTTGAACCTGCAGATGTTTGGCATTTGAAGAACGAGTTAAACAATTCATGAGTTATCAGAATATTTCCATAATTAAACTTCAGTGCAGCTCCGGGACCCTATTAATGTCCCAGGGTGCAGTGACTCAGACTCATGCTACAGACAAAAGACAATGTTCATTCTGTATGAAATGTTGCTGCACTGAGGCAACGCTGTGTTTTTGACTGAAGAAAAATATGTATTTTTTTGTATTAAGCCATAAATGTGCATTGTGTTTTTGTTTTCTCAGATGCTTGAATAACTGTTGTCCACACAGTATTCTAATCTAAGACTCTCCATCTGCTCTCCTTCTACCTCAAGGACTACTATAAGATCATCAAGAATCCTATGGACATGGGCACGATAAGAAAACGTCTGGAGAACAACTACTACTGGAATGCGCAGGAGTGCATCCACGACTTTAATACAATGTTTACAAACTGCTACATCTACAACAAGGTCAGCCACTGGCCACAAAAGTGCTTGTCACATGTGACTGCCATGAACTTGTAGGTCTAACGATGAAGCAGACATTGTCCTGCTAACTTTTTTTATCACTCAGATGAAGAGAGAAGGCCTCTGTACAAAGAGCTTGTGCCTTCTAAACACATGCATCTGCTTGTTTGTTTAGTCTGGGGATGATATTGTCCTAATGGCGGAGGCCTTGGAAAAGCTCTTTCTCCAGAAGATCACAGAGATGCCACAGGAAGAGATAGAGATCGCTGTGCTCACCAAGGGACGCCGCGGAGGGAGACGGGAGTCGGGTATGAGTTTACAATGTAATATGAACTTTGAAATGTCAATGTATTTCTGTTTGCCTTGGAGGAGGCCAGTCATTGTCTGTATTAACAGAACTTTCACCAATGTCTATACAGAGACTAAAGCCAAAAATGAATTGCCTCTACTCATGGCAAATGTCTGTTGTTGTTCAAAAATGATTAAAAACACAATGGAGGTCTGTGGCACAGGTGAATAAGCTGATCCAGGACTGACAGAATGACAGGCATTAACCCAGGGTGTCCGCGGGGTTTTAAAAAGTGATTAATCAAAATTGCCAAATTTAAGGCCATTAAAAAGTGTTTAATTTGGTTTAGAGGTATTATTTTTTAAAAATAGGTATTATTTTTTCAGACTATGGTGTCCTATTCTGATTGAAATTCTATCTGCTAAAATTTGCGCTAGTTCGTTTAAATGTGGGCTTTAGCATATCGGGGCACATAATCAAAGATCCTCGTCTAGTCTCAACTTTGTATGTTTGATGCTGACGTCA